AGGGCAGTTCAGGTCTTCAGTGCATCCTCTGACTCTGGCCACCCAGCTTTCTCGGAGCACCTGCGTTTCATTTTCTCTGGGGGAAAGGATAGCAGAAATGAGTCGATTTCTGTGACTTGCATCCCAAAGAAACCTTCAAATGCAGAAGGCTGTGGAGGAAGGAGAGGATCATCTCCATTCAAAAGAGAATGGGAAGGAGAAGAGAGGCCTTGAGAAGTAGGCAAACATTTTGATGATTAACCAGTGTGTTTTCCCCATGATTTCCTGTTACCCTTGACCCTCCCCCACTGGGCAGCTAGACCATGAGTCACTCCTTGCCTCAAGGGAGGGTTGTCACAGCAGAACCAGAGAACAAAAGAGACAAATTCTTGGCTTTGGAGTTTAAAAAGCTGAGCTTCAGGCTTCAGACAAAAAAGATTTGGAAGAATATCTGATCCATTTGAGCCAATTTTTTTCCTGCCCACGTAGATAAAAATTCCCCTGGCTGGGATACAAGAGACAATTCCAAAGCAAAGCCAGAGGGTTAGATGCTGCTGAGTCCGAGAAGGGGCTCCTGCACTCTTTTGCCACCCACCACTGATCCCTGGGGAGAGTGTGGGCTTTCAGAGTCTGAGAACCAGGAGGCTTGCACCTCATTTCCTAGTTAGAATCCAAAATATGGCAAACCTCAGTGAGATCTCTTAGACTTTACATTGCACCAGAGCAGAAGAGTCTGGAGTTGCCTCAGAGAAATTTCCATGGTCCTAGAGAGGTCAGGGAGGGGAGCCTAATATTCTCTGTAACCCTCACAGAGATACAGCTTTAGGGATCTGGACTGATTTGAAAAACTTGAAGCAAACATGTGCACACACACACACACACACACACACACACACACACACACCCCACACACACATACTCACAGCCCCAGCAGGCCTCAAACTTTCAGTCCTCCTCCCCCAGCCATTAGCTGCTATAACAGATGTACACCACACTTATATCTCTGAAAGATGTGCAGATATGGTCAAGAGGGAGCCAGATTCGGTCCAGTCTACAAAAGGGCAATGAAGATACAGTACCCTTGGATTGAGGACCATCAGCAGGGGTATGTAGTAGCTCGTGACAGGCCAGCCTGGACCAAGAACCAGACCCTGTGGCACGCGGAGGACTCTGCCATTCTATAAAAGCAGCTCTGCTCCCCTTGCTGAGCTCGCTGGACTTACAACTCTCCCATTTGCACAAAATGTTCCTCTGACTAGTTCTGTTCTCTAGGGAGAAGTTATCTACCAACTTCAGAGTTTCTCCAAGAACGGAGTAACGATTGTTGGGGCTCAGAAAATGATACCTCAAAAGACTGGTGCTTCCACATGATGAGACCCAGAAGCTGCCTCTTCCCTGAGCTTTCCGTGTCCCACCCCACCTCCCAGCACAGGGAGAGGCTTGAGTTTCCTTATCTACTTGACCAGATCTACCCAAAGAGGAACAGGGTCACCTTTAGTCTTTTTCTGAAATTTCACAGACTAGAGAAGTCGGCTTATTCCACGGAGGAAAACTGAATGTCGTACACCACACCTAGAGCCCACAAAGAACCTTGTCTCAGCTATTGCTTGTTCTTCTGGGTCCATTTGTCTCCCCTAAACAGAATTTACTACACCTCTAAAACTTCCCCACCCTCTCTGCCCTAGGAAGAGTACCTAAGCTTCAATTATCTGACCTCCTCTGAATCATACAGTATCTTCCGTGTTTGACATGTTAATAAATTTTTGCTTTTTCCTGTTACTCCGCCTACTGCCAGTTTATTTCATGCACTATAATGTTCAAAGCTGAACTTTCCTACATTCTTCTTTAGATCTTTTCATAAGAGGGGCTAGGTTCTGTAGAAGTCATTATTTGCCCAGATTTCTGTTCAGGACGAAGACTTCCCTGTTCCATGGGAAAGATTAAGGACCATGAAAAACCTTGCCCTCAGTTCTATCCAGATTTTTTAACTAATTTCTGAAGTGATCAGACTCAGGAATCCAGCAATAAGACACCTGCTTCTATCTGCAGGGCTTTTCAGCGCCTCCTTCAGAGTTTGGGTATTTCTCACTCCACCCTGTGGCCACTGGGAATCTCAACTCTCGTCTTGGTTAAAGACCTGCCACGAAAGCGTGGGGTTCAGCTGTCACTAGCTTGAGGAGCCCCACTGTCTTCTGCCAGCAGCCTAGGGTAGGGAAGGGATAGGTCAGACAGAAAGACTCAAGATGTTTCTGAATCTATGCGACACTGAGGCCATGTCTTATAATAACTTCTAAGGGGAACATGGGAAGTAAATCAGCCAACATATGGAAAATGTGATTGCTTCAGCTATTTTTCACTTATAAAATCCAAATCTAAGCAACTAACCAATATTCTACCAAACTGTAGTTCCCCAGTTTTGCTTAGCTGAGTAAATGAGATGGCCAATTCTGTGGAGTTTTTAATTAAGCAAAAGCTCTGGTATGAATATACAGCTTCAAAATGCTGGACAGACAGCACTACTGGCCACTGTGCTTGCACATAGCAGCACTGTCCAGCAATGGAACACACTCATGAAATGATTCTCCTAACTATTCATCTCCTCTTCCCTGAAACAGCAGCGACACTACACCTTACAAGGTCATTATTTCACTCCTCATACAAATCTTTGGCCTAGTGATTTATCCAAGGCATGCTAGAACCACTCAGAAACATTATCCCTGTCACATCTCACTGCTTAATTATGTCTCTATTTTAGGCTTCTAGAGTCATTGGACTTGGAAAGTTCTCTCTGAGACTTTGAATAAGACTCCATGTTGAGTTATCCTTGAACTTAAATGGTTCCATTTCTAACCTGTTCTGACTTAGACAGCAGTTATGGTTTCTTGGTTCAACAACACATGGAATAATCATGAGTTCTGAGCTTTATGCTCATCTCCATATAAGGTACTATCAATTCTTTGCAAGAGGGTCTACTTTTTCCCCAACACTTGATAGGGTTTGCATTGGTGAATCCCAGTGAGTCCTCTATTTTAAATTGATAACATGCACATAACTTTGTTTTTCTAATTCATTCTTGCTCTGGTAACTATACTTTTAACTCTGTACATGTTGTCCATCATGAATTTTTGGTTTTATTTTCGTTATACTTATATTGTTCCCCAGTGCTAAAAGTTAACTTAAAAAATATGGCTGTCATAGACACCTCCATATATTGCCAAACAACTAGACAGAATATTTAAAATTAGGAGTGTTGGAAAAATTGGGGAGTTCTGGAGGGATATTCACATTTAGCTTTCCAAACACTTATTTTGCTTACCATTATTAAAGCATTTCCTCCATTGGCCTTTTGTGAGTCTAAATCTTATTCCCTCAATTAGACAATAAGCTGCTTAAGGACAAAGGCCCAGATCACATACCTCTTAAACATCACCACCATGTAAGTAGCTACACGAAGTTGTCTGATCAACTGTATAAAGAGATGGCATTACATTTGTAAGACAGCTGTTTGATATTAGAAGCTTGCAAAAGTAGCCTAACACTGAAGGCAGACTGGAGAATAGTGTTCTGCTTCATCCCTCCAGAGAGCAGTTCAAGTCAGGTCCCGGGTAGCTCTATGTTGAGAAGAGATATAATTACCCGGATCCAGAGTGGCCTCAGGTCTTGTCTGGCAGACTGAGTTATATCTATCAGAGCCTTTTAAAATGCTTACTTGGCTCCCTATAAAAACAAACCCCAAAACATCATTTATAAAGGTCATGGGAATGGCCTGGGCCAGAATAACTAGAATCCATTTTGTGCCAACACCACAGAAGAGGTTGTGGCTGAATTCTTAGGTAAGCTCCTCAAGCCTATATTGCTAATTCCAAAGAATGAGACATTTATAGCTGAGCTGTACTCTGTAATTCAAATGCCAATCCAGCAATAAAATAAGATCATGGAATTCCAATCAGAGATTTTTATCATCTGACGTGGAAACCACTACACCCTCAGTGATACAAAGATTGACCACCACCTGCAATTGCTGGAATTCAGCATAATTATATAGAGGTGAAAATTTTGAGGAAAAAAATAAAAACTATTTCATTGCAATGAGAACCACGTTTTCAAACATTTGCCTTCTCTGAAATGACTAATTTTAATAAGTAGTGAATCAAGGTTTAAGAGCCCTATATCCAGAAAGTCAAGTTGAACCAAATAAAATTTGCTTCAAGTTAATAAGTGAAAACTACTACAATTTGGAAAAGACTTTTAAAGAGCACAAGTGAGATCCCCAAAGTAGTTTGCTCCTCAATTACTCATCACAAAGCTCAGAACTCTAACAGTCTTCTACTTCAGCTAATTGAGAAGTTTTAACATAAGAAGGACAGCTCTACAAAGTGTCCCAATAAACACACAGCATTAATTCTGGACCAATAATTTCCTTTACAGAAATTACCAGTTATTGTGTACTTGTGAATCTATATAGCAAACTTTTCCTATGTATTTTAAAAGACGTACATATCAGGATTATCCTGAGAAAGCCAGTGCATATGGTCCTCTTATCAAGGAGCGCCCAGCTCTCATTCATTTGCTCTGTTCCTTCCACACATGGGATACAGCTGCCTTTGAATAAAACTGATGCAATATAGTTTTGTCACTTATATCATCACCTGAGCACTCAGATACCACCCCAGGAAAGCCAAGCAAGATAACGTTTTTAATTTTTTTTTGTATAGTCATATTTGAAAAGTATTACACACACACACACACCCTGAATGGATTATAAAGCAAGATTGTCAAGCAGAAGGATGTGCTGCACATCACCAGGTGATGTATGTAATAAATACATGAGGAGTACAGAACTTTGCTGGCACTTTAAAATGAGCCAGTTGGCCAATCAGCCACTGTCAAACTTCTGGCCCTTAAATTCCTCATCGTAAAATAAGATGATCAGAAGATCAGATTCATTTCTTTCATGATTCTCGCTTCTCCATTCAGCTTATAAGTAGTCAGCATGAAAATTAACAGTGCACATAGCCATATTTAAACAATATTATAGAACTTTATTTGTTAATAAATTTTCTCATACAAAATTGAATGACTATATCTACCTCAAGGAAATCCAAAATGCATAACTGACACACACTTCCCCAAACAGTTATCTCTTTGAAACTTGTGTTTTTAGGTAAATAAAAAGCCACATTATAAATATATCAGACTGCTTTATTCCTTAGAAAAATAAAAGTGTCTTGGGCAATGAAGTTTCAATTTTTGTGTATGTTATCCATAAATAAAACACAACTCCTATATAAATGCATACTGAGAGAGGTCAGTAATGAAAATTATACTATTAACTAAATTATATGCAAGTACAAAGATCATCCATACTACCAAAAGATTGTATCCTCAATCAAACCCACTTAAAAATGATACTATATACTTTCTTATCTTTTTATAATAGTTCCTTTTTTTAAAGACTTAAAATGCAATTATTTTTATTTTCTGGAATTTCTGATAAATAGATCATCATTTAATGTAATAGTCACAGATTTCAGGACGAAACTACAATATGTTTATACACCCCCTTCACATATAGCACAATGAATGTAGTGGTCAAGTATTAATTAACTAACTATATTACAATAAAATGATTTATGCCAGGATAATTTATGTCCAACATACAAAACACACATTTACAAGAAACTTTAGAAAGAAAATACATCAATTTTTTTTTGAAAATCAGGAGTAGCAATAAGATGTTCTGTATTATTTTCAGCCTTATGTTAGAAATGTTTTTCTAAATTAAACTGATCAATGTGTCATCTTAAAAAAAGCATACATTAAAAATAAAGTTACACATACAAAGAATTTTTATATACACACGTATATAAAACAACCAACAAAACAAACAAATATTAAAATGGTAAACTAAAACCATTTAAAGGCAAATTAAAAGTAAAAGTAATGTTGCCTGAAGCTGTTTGGTTCTTTATATAAAACTACTACATTATAGCATAAACTATACTATATTATACCATATGTAGTTTGGTGTATAAACTACTATTTCCAAGTTGTATTTTGCAACTCTAGTAAGATCCATATATATAATTCGACCTGATCTTCCTCCATCGACACATTAATTTTTGTGTCTTTTAATTGATTACATAAAACAAGACTTCCATTTTCAACACTTCTCCCAGGAGAAGTTAAACAAGTGGGATTAGGTAGTGAGTGTCATTTTTATTTTACTTTCTGTATTTGCTTGGTCTAAAATTACTCTAACCATGTATTTTTTCTTCCACCCTTTTCTTCTTTATGTGGTGCTGGAACTCGAGCCAAGGGTCTCATATTCTTCATCCTTTAAGTCACTTATTTTAACCTAGTAATAATGGTTAAAAGAATAGTGGACTGAAACAGGGTGAAATATGTCCCTTGAGGAGCTGGCCTTGTGGCTCAGTGGTAGTGTGTTTGCCTACATGTGTGAGGCACTGAGTTCAATTCTCAGCACCACTTATAAATAAATAAAAGAAAGGTTCATTGACAAGTGAAAAATATTTTAAAAAATGCCCCCGATACAAAATTATTATCATTTGGGACTCTGGAATGGCCAAACATGTTAATCTACTTAAAACTAATCACATATTCAAAAACTAAGTTTTAAAGAGGCTCTTTGTAGAGACAGGGTGTAATCTACAACAGAGAGTACACTTCACTGAACATGATATTAGCTGAAAAGAACACTGGCACTTCAGGTGGCCATAGCAGCTGACATGTCATTAACTCCTTGGTTGGGGCAGTCTGGACTCACACAGGGGATCCTGCTGGAACTTCCACACTGTTCGCCTACCTCTAGGGAAGCAGACTGTTCTTGTGGTTTTCTGTCCTCTTTTACAAATTGTAATGTCGCACTCTCCTCAGCAGACTGACATGGTCTTTCTCCAAAAGCCACTCGTTTCCCTGCTTCTGCTTCCTGTTCCCGGAGCAGTCTTTCCACCTCCACCTCAAGTTCCAAGGTTTCCTCATCAGCTTGCACATCCAGCTGCTGCATCAGCTCCTCCAACTTTTTGGCCTTCCGGAGCTCATTTTGCTGTATGATTGTACAAAGGTGCTCAGTGAGTTGCTCTTTTATCTCAGTCTTTCGCTGCAGATCTAGCTTTGCTGTAATATACTCAGCTTCAGCCCTGTCAAATCGTTTCCTGTCAGGACAGGGATAAAGATTGAGCCATTAGTTTTCCATTGAAGAAGATATTTTTAAAAAGGCCAGAAACAATAAACTCCAAAATTGGGCAAGGCATGTATGATGAAGATGGATATTAACACTTCACAGATACCTGTCTACATGTTAGATGAACTGAGGAATGGATGCAGAAACTTTCACAACATTATTTAACAACACCCTTCTGTGCTCTCTTCTTCTTTCCGAAGCTGTGCTGGAGTGAGGGCAGGCTTAGACTGTTAATTCTGTGGTGTGCAAGCTCTGAAATGTGTGTCTGTGGGGGTGGGGGAGGTGGAGAGCTCTGACTTGTAGCTTTGCCAATATGTATCTACTATAGCCACCAATTTTAAGCTACCAATGTGATATCACTAAATATGGATTTGGGAAGAGATGAACAAAATCTGCTCTTATGAACTAGCACAAGCTAGCTCCAGCACAGAACTGGTTATAATTTATAAGAAATAAAACAAGAGTTGGATAAAGCAGAAAATCTGTATCTCTTAATTAATGAATGATAAAAGGTAGAAAACAATTTGATGGAGGATATGGATGGTGGTTGGGAGGTAAACATATGTAACACAGAGTGCACCCAACAAAATACTAGGTGAGGGCAAGAAGAAAAAACCAGTAGAAAAGAAAACAAGGCAGGTTTAAGCAGGATCTCTCACACTTGGCACTATTGGCCATTTTTAAGTCTTCATTGTGAAAAGCCGCCCTGTATACTGTGGGATGCTCCACTTACTAGCTGCCAGTACCGCTCACTGCTTAGGACAACCAGGACTGTCTCCAAACACTGCTGAGCATCTTGTAAAGGGCAAGACTGTCCCCAGGGAAGAATTCCTGGGTTGAGCTGTTCTCTCTCCTCACTCAGCAGCAAGACTACTATCACACTCTTTGGCGTTCACACTTATGTACACTCTACAGATGGGCAGTGCCAGTCTTACACGAGGTAGGGTAGTTCAAGCAGGGAAGCCAGTCACCCTGAAATATTCTTTTTTTTTTTTTTTTTTGCAACACAACGGTAAAAAAGAAAAGTCATATCTTTGTTCACTGTCTTTTGCTTTTTCTACATAACATATAAAATGTATTACTCTTCTTTTTACAATAAGGAAAGAGGTTTCCTCCTGTCTTCGAAAAAAAGAGATTGATTCCCAACTAGTTCTTCAAATAATTGCCACTAGCACTAGTGCAGACCATTTTGGCTTTCCAGTCATGACTAACTCAATGTAAGGAGTACTTTTTAGTGAAAGAGTCATAGCAAAAACCAATTATGTCTCCTAGTGTACGATTCTCTGTCTTGGAAGGACATATAGTGAGAATCATAAAGGCTTTGATTTTAGAAATCCAGGGTTTGAAACTTTCTTCTGCCATTGACTGTGTGTCACTTGCTTTGGTCTTTGGATACAAAGAATAGTTATCCAAACTAACATGAGGGGGAAATGAATTTTATTGTAGAATACAAGAGGCAATTTCACACGCAAATCCTAAGAATCAAAGGCTTCTTACTCTCCTCAGAGCTTAGAAGCCACACCATTTCTCTCACTAGAGCTTTCCTATCACACTCCGCTCAATCTGTCGGTGATCCTGTTCTGTAAATGCCAGGAGATCCTGGGTTGGCCTCATTCATCTCAGTTTAGAGTTCTTAATGTTCGTGGCCACGAGCCACTGTCTGGCCTATGGATTAACATGTTGGAGCCAGCAGCCCATCTTTGTTCTAATCAGAGGAGCTCCAAGCTCAGCATCTGCAGTCAGATTCCTGTGGAAGGGGCTGGGCAGGAGACACATAGGGACTGACAGCTCCAGCACAGCGACTCTGGGTAGTTCCCTGGTGAATCCTGGTCTATCTGCAGAGCGACTCTGGGTAGTTCCCTGGTGAATCCTGGTCTATCTGCAGAGAGAAGTATCTCACAGGAATGATTAAAAATTCAATAGCACAAATAGGCCAAGCATCTAGCCCAGTGCCCAAGAAACAGAGCTTCCTTCACAGCACCAGAATTGAAAAGCATCATTATTATACTAGTAAACATGTATCTAAAATTTAGATTGTGGAAAATTTAGGAACCCAGTATTTACACTTTAAATTCTTATTTATATAATGTTCACTTATCATATTTCTTTCTTTTCTTTTTTTTTTTTTTTTTGCTATTACCTAGTTAACATGAGAGAATCATTTGTGTTTCAGTACCCCCTGAGTTAAAAGAACTATTCTAAAGGAGCTCTGTTGAACACCTGGGTCCCTTATTTCCATATTTTATAACATATCCTGTTTATAAATGTCATCAAGGCAAGAGCCAGCCCTGACAACATTCTCCATAGAGAACTGCCCTTTCCCAAACTCAAACTTCCCTTCTCTGAGTTTCTGGTCTCCCTCAGCCTAAGTCAGTTAGCAGAGATTTACAGACTGGGTTCATGAATACTGAATTGAAATTAACATTTGCAAATAGGTCCCTAGGCTTCCAGTGATCTTTCACTGGAAGATAAATCACTAAACATTTTGTATTTTTTTATATATATTTGAAGTCCTCCTACTCAGAGACATACATATATATTCTTGTACAGAATGATTTATATTCAGAATATTGATTAGTTTCAAAAACTACACTACCAGCCTGAGGGTCAGGTGAATAAGATCAAATCAGAGTATGATGCCATACTTTGGAATAAAATAATAAGAGCATTATACACAATACAGTAAGACATACTGCACTGGAAATGTAATTATAGAATTGCTTTGTTATTTTAAAGGGATATTGAGAGATTTAATAAATGTTATTTAAAGGATTCTAGAAACTGTCCTTTGGTTTTGGTTTCTCTGAAATTTTTAAAGAAATTATTAACCCTTGGTATATCATTAGGTTTCACTATGCACTTTTATTTTCTCAGTTTCTGTTTTGAGAAGTTTTAACTCTTTGTATGCATTAACCCAGGACTTTTAGAAAGTACTTAAAAAAACAAAGAAAAATTCACTTAAAAAATAGATTAAAATGAATTGTAATTTGATAGAGCTTTCCTATCACACTCCACTCACTTAAGGTGCATCATTAAATTAAAGATACATTTTTCCTATATCTTGATACATTCTTCCATCTCATCACCCTAGGAATTGTTTCATCATTACTTACTGATTATTCCCATTTATGTTAAAAAGTAAACAATGGGGCTGGGGATGTGGCTCAAGTGGTAGCGCGCTCGCCTGGCATGCGTGCGGCCTGGGTTCGATCCTCAGCACCACATACCAACAAAGATGTTGTGTCCGCCAAGAACTAAAAAATAAATATTAAAAATTCTCTCTCTCTCTCCTCTCTCTCCTCTCTCACTCTCTCTTTAAAAAAAAAAAAAAAGTAAACAATGAGAAAACGAGAATGGTGGAATGATCTAAAAAGATGATGCAATAATGAAATAAATTATCACTGCTTGATTTTCTAATTGTGTTGTTCAAAGTACTATGTCACCTCAAAAAGGTGTAAGAGAAGACTGGAAACACCATCTTTACATACCGCTCTTAGTTTTCATTGAAGACAGTTGAGAGTTAATAGTTCCTCATTTTCTACGCATGTTGGCAAACAGACATTTGACAGAAGAAAACATTTTGCTATTAGACAAATCAAAAGATGAATACTGTAGTGGGCTAACACAGCTTACCATCAAAACACCTCCTAATCCATGGAATTTTTGAACGTTACCTCATACAAAAATTACCTTGTAGGAGAAAAGATGTGATCAAGTTATGTATTTGGGGAGTAGTTAATCTTGAAATTATCCAGTTGGGCTTTAAAAGCAATCACAGGTATCCTTTGAAATGAGAAAGTAGAGAAGTTTTGAGAGAGAGGAAGAAGCAATGTGATCCTAGAGGCACAGAACGGAGTAGCAGGGCCACGGACAAGAAACATCTGAAGCCACCAGAAGTTGGCACAGGAAGGAAGGAAGGAGCACAGTGCTCTGAGGAAACTTGACCGGCCACCACCTTATCTGCAAGTGTCCAGGCTCCAAGAAAGCATGGGAAGAAGCATCTCATGTTTTAAGCCATACAGTCTGTGGTAATTTGCTATGACAGTCCTAAGAAACTAACACAAATGCAGACACACTCTTTAGAGTGGAGGTAGTAAAACTGATATTTAAGTGAGATCTCAAACTATGAGTCTTCAGAAAAACCCATCCTGCGTGAATTTCCTCAAACTCAAGAATCCACGAAAGAAAAACATAGTTTTAAGGACAAAAATGAAACATGATATCCTCATACAATTAACAACTTCAATAGGAAGAACTGTCAATATTTTACAAGCCTGGGGTTGTCCTGTGCTACAAAAAGAATTTTCTCCTCTTTTCAGTTCGTAAATCAAATTTTATTTCATACAAAGAAGTTTACTACAATCACGTTTTTATAAAGTTGCCTTCTACAATCCTTTTTTATCTGACTTCTATGAATTACTCATAAAATAATTTTAAAATATTTCCCTCTTGTGTGCATGTGTGTACACACAGGGGTGACCTTTAAGATCAACAGGGGTAATCATCGTACACTCAGGTTCAACAACACACTCTGGATGCCGTCGGCTCCATGTTCTAGGTGGTCTGCATGGCACTGGGGCAGTCCTGCCCCACAGCTGTGCCCAGCAGCAACAGCAGCTCTCAGGTCCGTGGCAAAGTGCTGGTCTTCTCAGAGGTGACGTATCCTAAGGTTGCTTCACATTAGTCAATTTTAAAGCAATTTCTGGCTTATTTACTGAGAACCTTTGAGGACATAGCACTGATCCAGGACTAGAAAATTTAAGATATAATTTTTATTAAAAAAAAGGAAAAAGTTAAGGAAATCTCCCACAGAAATCAATAACCTGAGGATTACCTTCCAGTAGAAATCTGGACCATTATCTTATAGTACCAACCTATAACTTCCCTGTAACCACAAATGCAAACTTACAAAACACTGCATAATATCATCACTAACAACCAACCCTGAATCCAGTCGCAGTTTTCTGATGCTTTTCTCTGACTTCACCAAGAGCTGAGGCTTTTAAGAACAGTTTCACACTGCATCCATTAATACTCCGCCACATCAACACCACGAGGAATTGATATCTTTAGCTCATTAGAGATGTAAAAATACACTAAAAGTTTATTAAGGATATTTATATATTATGGGATGTTTTCTCCTTTAATTAGTAATTCTACTGTCACTATGGTTCTCTGAAGGTCAAAACTGACATTTCTTATATACTATTCAGTATGAAAGGTGTTCTTCTCCATTCACCAGTAGGACAGAATTCGTTTTTGTTGAGATACTCAGCAATGGACCTTATACTATGAATTATTCAGATAAAAGGCTGAAAAGGCATAAAAAAGGTTCTCTGGCAAACTCATATTACAGAGAATAAAAGATGCTAAAAATCAAGGCTGTTTAATCTTAATATCCTGGTTACTTCCTCAATGGCCTTATTAATAGGAATCTGGAACCTCTGCTTATCAGCTACTGATGGCATTAATTTAAGCTATTAATTAATAAAGGCTAACCATTATGTCTAATAGCATATGGTCAAATAACAATTACAAAATCACAAGGACAACCACAAACCTCTTTCTTAAACACTAAACAGTGAATTAAAAACCATAATCAAGCATTTCCACTTTATTAAATTGTTACATAAACATTCTGATGTTGTGGTTTACCCTGGACTAATGAGGCATTCCGATTGATTTCTAGTGTTACAGAGAAAATGCAGAACCAAGTCATTAACACAGCATTCCCTTGTGAGAAAAGACAAACCAGGATGATTAAAGAAATGTTAAAGGGACTGAAAAACCCTGAAATTGGACTTTTTTTTTTTTTGCCCTTTTATCTGTTTGCAAAGTCCATGTAATTCTTTACATGTGTTAGTTCATTTTAAAAATACTTCATGATGATTTTTGCCTCTTTATAAAAATGCCAATAGTTGAAGCCAAGGAAACAAAATAATCAAACTATTTTGTACATATAATTTTAAAAAAATAAGAAATGAACTTTAAAGATTCTAAGAAAGAATGGTATTTTCTTAAAATAGTCACAAGCTTATAAGAAATAAACTAGATCTTCTGGCTTTGAAGAAAACTAAGAGAATCAGGCTGTATCCCCACAAAGGCTATTATCAAATGATCGCAAATCTTAATGGCAAAGAACACAGATTTGGTGTTATAGAGTTAACAGTTTGGGGACAAGCCATTCAGATGTTTACTTTGCTAGATCCTAAAAGATTAACAAGGGTCCCAAACATTAAACAGTTGGAGGTATACAAAGAAAAATTAAATGCAAAGAAAAATACAGGAAACTCTCTAACAGGGACACAATAAGGTAAGCTGGTAAAGTAGAAGACAGGAAGAGGTCACAGAAGAAGACACAATGAATTAGCACAAAAGAGAACAAACATTATTTACTAGGGTTGAAAAGAGACTTAAATGATAATATGCTTAAGAGCTATGGGCCTGGTTAGTGATAAACATGAACTATTCCAGAACCCTTGATCAAGGTTCAGATTCCCTCACTCACTGTGCATATGAATAGTCCAGGCTGGCCTGATCAATCCGATTCCTGAGGATTCCAATGTCAGCAGACACCATGTCATCCAAAGCCTGTAACTCCTTCTGGATCCGCTTTAATTTCATGGTCTCTGCCTGAGTTCTTTTAGATCTAGAAAATCAGGAACATGAGTGGGTAAAAAAAAGTTTTAAAAAGATGTATCCATACATAATGTAAGGAAAAAACCAAGATACTGAATATATAATTATAGTTATGATTTTTTAAATTGGAAAAAAGTCAGAATTTAAATAAACGTTAGTAATATTTTCATATTATCTCTAAAACCACATTTGTTTTTTTCTGCTTATTCTTCCAAATTTTCTATAAGCACATGCTACTTCATAAACAAGGAAAAACAAAAATATATAAAAGAACATATCTGTATTCCCTTTAATTGAAGCATCCAACACAGCTTTTTAAAATTCTAGTATTAAATTCCTCTACTTATTAAGCCCATTTCCATTTGAGTCTTATCTGACATGAAGAATAGATGCCTGTATTAAACATTTCTTTAAAAGTCTGAAAACATGTATTTGTTTTTAACTGTCGTAAGCCCCATTTCTCTACTTTTCTTGCTTTGATTTTTTTTGTTCTCTAGGTAAAATTACAGGTCCTCAAAATTATTTGTGGGGCTCAAAACCAAAATACTCTTTTATTTCCTTGTCTACCTCACTAAGTTTTATTTTCCCAGATATGGGATACCTATAAAATCTTAACTGAGCAACAAATATACTACTTATAATAATTTCAAAATAAAAATTATGTTTTTAAGAGTTCTATTCTTTTGAGAAAACAGGTAAAATTAGAACATTTAAAAATATTTCATATTTATATAAAAATATATATAAAAGAATTTAAGCTGTAGATGAATTTCCAATCTATTTTAATGCACCTGTGTTAACTTTGCTGAAATATTAGCAAAATTGAAAAGTTCCACTTCATCATCTCTCAGTTCCTGCACCACCCCAGGCATATACTTTAGAAACAGAGTAGAAAATACAAACCCAAACTTTTAATCCTGATTCACTGATTTCAAAATCTCACACATTCTCAACGTAGAAGCCCTACATGAGACTATTATATGGCAACTTACATTCCCGATTCCACTGTACCATGCGTTTATCCTTACATTATACCCACCATAGTTCACTTAACCAGTATGACTTTTACATCAAATACTTCATAATCCATTTATTAACAATCCAACCATGTTGCATTATTCTTTACATTTCTATCAGCATCAGTGTTCTCCATCTTAAATCAGAAACACTGAGAGAAGTCTGAGCCTGTGAATCTTGTAAAAGCCCCAGTAAACAGTCTCCCCACCAGATGCAGCAGTGTACACCCTGTACTCTCAGCCACTCAGGAGGCAGAGGCAGAAGGACAGCAAGCAAGTTCAAGCCCAGTCTCAGCAATTTAACCCAGTACCCAGAAAACAACCCCTGCCAAAAAAATCCACAACCCCTGCCTCTCTTTCCAAGCCCTTCTGTAATTCTTTATTTCTACACAATTCTCTGGCTTATCCTTTTCCTTTCTCAGAGAAGTGAGAAGTCATTCTACACTTTTTCTAAATGGAAGCCTATGACAATGCTTTTTGAAAATAACCACTTGTGGGGGAAAAAGAGGGCATTTCTCTTTCACACATTGTTCTTTTTCTTGAAACATACTAAAGTCAGTGAGCTGCATATCTCCCATGCTTCATGAAAGAAGGAGGTGCACCAGCAGAAGAAAAATGTCATTTTCAAATGCATACATCCCTCTAGCTGATCAAGTTCTGAATCACCCTTAAATGCAACCTGCTTTGTTTCACCTCTTCCCTGACCCCTGTATCTATCTATCTATATATATTCCAGCCTCAAGCAATAATAGTTTTGTCACACTTTTTCAGAGGTCTGAAAAGAAAATGCCATCGAACACTTGTTTGCATTACGTTCACAATGTTCTTAACCCCTGCTTTATTTCCTAAGGCCACAGGAAATTAGTAACTAAAAACATTGCCATTTGAGGCTGGTACTGAATACCAAATTATGTGTTTTATTTATCTGTTTTATTTTATTTTGTAGTACTAGAGACTAAATTCAGGGCTTTGTGCATTCTAGACAACTGCTCTATCACTCAGCTACATACATCCTCAGCCCTTTTTTAAAAAAATATTTAATTTTGAGACAAGGTATCCCTAAATTGTGTAGGGTGGCCTCCAACCTGCAATCCTCTTGCCTCAGCCTCCAGAGTCACTAGGATTACAGGTGTGAGCCAACTTAGCAGAGTAAGAAGGGACCACTGACAAACTAACATTGGGAGGTGCTAGAAAATCTCATGCAGTGCTCATTATGGTTATCTTGCATCAACAATAGAAGGCTAAATTAAAAGATAAATTAAGAGAAATATCCATAGGAAACACAACTAAGATTGGTTGCAGCGTTAAGTCCTTATGCAGAATAACCTTTCTCTTATACAGGTCAGATAATTAAGGTTTCTCCACATCAAAATTTTAATTGCTTTCATTGTACTTTTGCATACACTGATAGCTATTGACTGCTTCCCTGATGAATGTGTACATGGTTACAACTGAAATCAGATGCTGGTCTTTAGTTTTAATTTTACTGCATTTATAAATTCATTATGATACATGCTTAAAAAGCCTCCCTTAATGAATTAGAACTGGAACTTCAATATCATTTATGAAGTGTAACTTGTTTAACTATCATTAAAAGTAAAGGTCGTAGAGAAAATGCCAGTTTATTAGAATGGGCATGGGAAAACAAAACACAGCAAAACTGACAGTAGGTTAAACAAGCTCTCCTGGTTCAGGAGCCTCACCTTTCTGCAATTGCTTTAGCCAAAAGAGCTTTCTTACGTTTATTTTTTTCTTCCATTAGTCGTTGTTCTTGTTGAAGGATTTCCCAACGAGATTTTTCTTGCCTAGAGAGCAAGAGCAAAAAAAAAAAAGGTATAAAGATAAGATTATGAAAGAGACTTCTGCCCTATTCCACACCTCACCAGTCTGTTTCCTATGTATAAAATTTAATCAGGCAGATTACATATATTCTTTCAAAAGTCCTCTTAAAAGAAACCCATCTGCAGCTCATTATTCTACTCCAGAAGGAACAAAGACTATGATCTAAAGGAAGTAAAAAGGGTTACATAAATTGGACCTTTGAAATCCATTATATGTATATAATCTAGGATCCCACAAACTGGAAGCCAGAATACTGTAGCACTTTTTTAAAGAGTACAAAGAAATGTGTGTAAGTTAATTATGTATTATATGCAAAATTGAGATCAAATAAATCATTCTGTAGCTGAGGTCATGTCATACCTTTTAGAATATTCTATAATGAAAAGTTCCCACCAGTTTAACATTCTTAAGACAATAGCCAATGTTTATTTCATATATTTTCTTCCAATTTGCTCACTTTTTTCCAACTCTTTAAACATTTTAAAATAGAATTATATGCTATGAACTAAAGCCAAATGGAATTGGGCTAAAAAAAGTCTTCAAATATCCAAAAATATATATTGTCTTCCAAACAGACCAATTCTGAAAGAAATATATTAAAATTTACCATAAAGTCATGAATTTGATGTCAAATTAAATTAAACAATAGCAAACCTATTTATTCCAATTATTGTCATCTCTTACCACCATTATTTCCAAATTCTCTACTTGCAAACCTGGTAACCACTTCCAAATGGATACCTCTTCACTTTATCCCTCCAGCTCTGCCTTAGTGCTGACACAGTTCATCCCACATTTTCTCTACTATAGATCTCCTCATCAGGTGCCTAGTTCCAGCTCACCTGGCACTGTCCCCTAAATGGTCTGCAAATGCAATAACACCCAGTACTTCTCTAACCATAACTTTGATCAAATCATTTCTCCCTCTGAGGCCTTAGAACAAGGCTGTGTCTTTTTTTTTTTTTTTTAGAGAGGGAGAGAATTTTTAATGTTTATTTTTCAGTTTTCGGCGGACACAACATCTTTATTTGTATGTGGTGCTGAGGATCAAACCCAGGCCGCATGCATGCCAGGTGAGCACGCTACTGCTTGAACCACATCCCCAGCCCCATGCTGCCTCTCTTTCCAAGCCCTTCTGTAATTCTTTATTTCTACACAATTCTCTGGCTTATCCTTTTCCTTTCTCAGAGAAGTGAGAAGTCACTTTAGAGCATTCTACAGGATACAGCTTTCCTTTCCCCTGCTTATAACCTCTGAATTTTTCCTTTTCATTAATGGCTCCTCAGATTACTTGTCTTCTTTAAAAATATGAATATATTCAGTGTTTTTTAAAAAAGAATAATTTTCCTAATGACACCCAATCTAAATTGTCCAGCTTAATTTAAACTTACACCCCCCACCCCCAATGATTTCAGGCTTTTGTTGGTAAACTAAACACTCTTTCAATGTTGGTTTCATAATTCATGTGATCTTATATCTCTTGCCTAAATTCTTAGTTATAAATCCCTGATGGGCATTAAACATTTAAACTCATGTATAGAATCTGGATCACCAGGGATTAGAAAAACATACAAAATATTTTGGGAAAAAAAAAAACTCAAAAAACTAAAACAAAAGTCATCATTTTTCCCTTACTGCTATTTAATGAATTCACAAGACACAGAATGGCAATTTCCACAAATTATGTATGTTGTTTCTAGTACAACCACATTAAGTAAATAAAGAAATCTAGTGGTGCAACTGAATTATATAATTAGTCCCTCAGTTTCCTACACTCTCTCACTGGCCCACCTCTTCATGTTTTCTTCATAAATACTCCTTTCTGAAACAATGGAGATGTCATCTAGAAAGTGAAAAGTGAGTTCAACTTGGGAAGTAGTACAATACCCACAAGAACTACTTTTGGTGAGTATAAAGGCCACAGAATTTGGATATAGATATATTTGTGTATCTGAACTCTATTACTAGCTGTTTATTAGCTTTAGGAAGAGGACACCTGTTCTGAGTATCAGATAAAGTGAAAATAATAAACATACATTGTAGGGTTAGCCTGAAGACTGAATGATATAAAAGAAAATGCCTAAGAATGATTCGCTCATACTATGTTTAGCTGGTAGCTACTTTTCTAAGCTTCCTGATAACATTTCAAGGCTTGAATATAAGATAGAGAAAATGTTAAAACCAACCAATCAACCAACCAACTTTCCTCAAATTACAAAGGGGGAGGGGGGAAGTAAAATGAGAAGTCTTATAGACTTACTAACAATTCCACTTTCTTTTTCTCCAATTTGCAATCAGGCTTTGGAGGTAGGACCTCAACATTTTTGTGACCATCATGGGAATTCTCAAGTCCTGGTTCCCTTGATTGACTTTTAATACCCTGTGGTTTTCCATCACCAACAGGAGAGGAGAGTGTAAGAGGACTAGGAAGAGTAGGGGAAGAAGAATGTGGTTCTTGAGTGTTAAGCCTCTGTTTTGGTGCAGAAAGCAGCTGCTCTGGAGATAACGAGGCTGATCCATCTTGAAGTCCGAGTCTCTGGCTTAGCTCCAGAAGGGCTTTTTCTCGCTGAAATTGTTGTCTAGTTTTCTTCCCAGGGAGACGGCGCTGTGGTTCAAATGGATCTATGTAAAGAGGGATGAAAAAAATTAATTTGTGTGAGCAAAGAATAATTATAATTTCTTTAAGAAAATAAAACACTGATATTAAACTGACAAAAATTCTAGAGATCCTTCTACCTGATTCTCCAAGCCCAGAAAGTCAGCCATTTTTCTGTAAAGTTCAATAGTTCAAACACCATATTGCTGATATTTAACAAAAACCCAGCTCTCAATTTATCTTAACTGAAAATCCATTTGTTGACAGTGGGCCTTGGAACACAAAGCAAGTTTTCTTTTTTTTTGTTGCCTGGATGCAATTTTTTTATTTTAATGATTTTATATTTATTTTTAAATATATTAGTCAAATTACACAGTTTTTCATGATTTCATGGTTATCACTGCTTTTCTTTTTAAATGTGATTTGATATCTGCCTATAAGAATTCTTATCAAACTAGGTAAACAACTAAATTCTCTGTCTTGTCCTGACTCTGATTTATGGTTCTCTCTGTTCTCCTGAAATAAATTGGTCATCAGTTTGCAAACAGATTCCCTTCTTTACTTTTCAAACAGGTTTATAGGCAATTTTATACACAGGTGGACACTTTTAATAAATATAATTGACTAAAGTCTCATAATTCTAGGAATTAGAAATTAATTAATAAATTTCAATTGTTTTATTTTATCTTGCAAAACAACTGAAGGTTGTATCTCCCAAAGTCTAGCCAGGCTCTAATTAATGCATTCAAACTAATTTTAATAGTAGCTTTAACAAAGCAGTAGAGAAATATAAAATAATTGGAGGAATTTTTTTCTAAGCATAAACTAAATAATATTTCTATTATATGTTTTGGACTGTCTATGCCAATTTTAACCTCTTAGGGCAGACAAATGGAGAATATGACTTACATTCATACTATATTTAATAAGATCTATAAATAATATTTTCGATAAAATGCTTGGAAAATGAAAGTATGAGTCCTTATAAATGAACAACTCAAGTAGGTCTTTTAAATTCTACATATTGGCTTTTGAAGCAGCACACTCCTGTTATTTAAGTTTCCCAAAGAGGAATTAAAAGTTCTGAAGTCACAGCCCAGTTTTGCTTACATACCAGCTCTGTCAGGCAAACCATTTTATCATTCAATATCTCAGTTTCTTCATCTGTCAATCAATTGAAAATTATCTGCTTTATTTAACTCATGGAGTTAATGGAAGAATTAAACAACGTATGTTAAAAGATAATTTCAAAGACAGAAGCACTATGCAGGGTATGTAGCACACACCTTTAATTCCAATTACCTAGAAGGTTGAGGCAGGAGGATCACAAGTTTGAGGTCAGCCTGGGCAATTTAGCGAGACCCTATCTCAAAATAAAAAATAAAAGGGGCTGGAGGTACAGCTCAGTAGTCAAGTACTCCTGGCCTCAATTCTCAGTACTACAAACAAAATAAAAAATCACAACTCTTCAAGGATAGACATACTCCTTCTCTTCTAGAACACACAAGAAAACTATTTCCTCTGCCCCAAATCATATAACTTAGTTTATTAAATGAAATGTAAGTAGGAATAACACATGTCATTCACTGGTGAAAGCATTTAACTGCCAGTGTTCACTTTTCCATCTTCTTTTCCTCCTGCCATTGTGAACTCCTTTATGACAGCACCAAATGATGGTGTAGCAGAGTCACCTGGCAACCTATGTTAGACATAATACTGGAGTGAAAAATAAATTTTTATTATTTTAAGGTTACTTGTTATGTCAGCTTAACTTGACTTACACAGATTGCACAATTACCAATACCTTTGAAATTCCCTGGGTATTCACTCCTTCCTAATCACATTCCTTCTCTTACATCCCCACCAACCTGAACTTGGTATTTCTTTGACTTTCTTTATAGTTTTCCTGTATTCCTAAAGGAATATATCTGTTTTAAATGATTTTGATTTTAAACAAATTATCATATTACATATATATATATATATATGCACCCCCAACTTGCTCCTTCTCTTCACTTTTCAAATGCTTCTATCTTTGAAATTATCTTTTAATTAGAGCACAACTTATTTATCTATTCCCCCGTTAATGAATACTTCAGTTGCTTTTAACTCTTTAATATTATAAATAAGAATAATGACCAAGTTCCTCAATGTACATTCAGGTATATTGTCCTCACTTTTGCTATCGACCAATTCCATATTCCTAGATTGTTTAATTATATTTTTAAGGCTGGAGAACAGCTGGGAGGGCCCTTAACATTAAAGATCCAATTCTTAGAGTTTTACAGACGAGAAATACAAGGCGAAAGGACTTAAGAGGCAGTCCTGGGGTGGTTATGCCAATCATCATATTTGTGCACGGGTATACAAAGTTAGCATATTTGTCCTGAAGGTAGTTACAGAGTAGTGATCTGGGGTCTATGTCCTCACATTTCACTACTGTATCATGGAACTTGAAATTTAGGTCTTTCCCACCTTATACCAATCCCAAAGCACAGAGATAATTCAAAGTATAGTTTTAGTTAACAACTGTTTTGTTTAATTTGGGCTCCTACATTAATTAAATCTTCTTTGCCCTGGGAAATTCACCTCTGCTAACACATTAATCTCTGTGAAAGATTCCCAAACTCCACCCAATCCCTAGTACTACAGCCAATTTTTGGACAAAATCTACATTCGAATAGTTTTATGGTCTTTCTCATTAGGCTATAAGCTCTTTGAAGGCAGGAATGGGATGCTTTGCTTATTTTTGCATCTCTAGTGCAAAAAGTGATACTTGGAACTTGGAATTCAGACCAGAAGCATGGGTACTTGTACTCTACATCTGGATATGTGACTGCCCGTTGAAAACACATCCATATGTGACTGGATGATGAAATAATTTGAGTACATCAAGCTAGATAGAGTCAGTTAACCACTCACTGTGGCACAACTTTTCTGCTACAGTTTTTAAAGGCCTCTGGAACAGTCAAAATTTCCCAATTTATATAACCTACATCATCCTTATCTTATTAATTTACTTCCTTTTGCATTCGTCAGTCCTGGATTATTCTCACATCTTTGCTTAAAGTGTACAGGCTACTGAGTCACACTCAATTTTCCCACAAACTAATAAAGGGCTTAGCAAGACTTATTTAACTGCTCCCCAAATAAATTATGGTACCAAGAGTGGCCCGAACTTCTCACAAAAGTGGTGTGCACTATCAGGATCACTATACAGACCTTTATGAAAATTCAATCACAAGCAAAGCACAGTTTCCATTACTAAGAATTCCCCACCAAGTCACTGGAAGCTTAATTCCTTCATCAAAATACATTTAAAAATAATATGCTTACTCATAAAGCCAAGCCGGAGGGAGAAGTACACGATTCTAGCTGACCCGAGTTGGTATGGTTCTGTGTGAAGGTAAGCGCGCGCGCACACACACACACACACACACACACACACACACAGGGCTTCACATCTAACTTCTCAAAAACTCTTTCGATTGCTGTCAAGAACTGGAAAGTGCGAGATCACCTAGCACCCGAGGCGCAGGCCATCCTGCAGACTACTCTCACAGGAACCCCGGCTCTGGCACCTGTCGGGCTCTAGGGTCAGGGTCAGGGTCAGGGTCAGGGTCAGGGTCCCCTTCTCCCCGCGCCGCAGGCCGACCGTGCGCAGGTGCCCCCCACCTTCCTCTCCGCCGACCCCCGCTCCCTACCGGAGGCAGCCAGACTGCGGGCTCGCCTCCGCTCCCAGGCCGCAGTCGGTCGTTCGGACCCGGCTTCGAAGAGCGGTGGCGCCAGCTGGCCCCAGCCGCCTTCCCGCGCCCCGGGCAGAGCCTCCGGGTCAAGGCCGCGCAGCGTGGCCCAAGCTCCCGGCTCCACGCCCCCTTCTCTCCCGGGAGCCGCAGTCCCGCCCTTCGCCACCACAGACCCGGGGAGCAGAACCCCGCACGCACACCGCGTTACCTTTATTCTGCTTCAGTCTCCTCAGCTCCTCCTCGGAGAAGCCCGCCCAGTCTCGCGCCATGGGCCCCGGCCGCCGGCACCCCAGGCGCGCCCTGCTCCCAAAGCCCGGACTGCCAGCTCGGCGGCCCCGGCACATCCGGGTTCCGCCGCGGCCGCGAGTGGCCAGCCAATCAGCGCGCCGCGCTCTGGGCACGGGGTCCCTCCACAGTTGGTGTCCGGGTCCTCCAGAGGCTGCGTCCGGCGTTGCTGGGCCGACTGCGGGCACGTCCGGTTGTGCCCCGCCGCTGCGCTCTCTGCAGCCCTCGAGAGATGAGGGGGAGCGCCGAAATGGAGAGGGGAAAGGGGCGGCAGGGAGACCGGCCCGAGGACTCTGACTAGGCCGTTAATGGGGGCGGGCCGCGGCGGCTCCCCGCCTGAGGACGCGCGGCCTGAGGCCTTTCCCGGAGGGTGGGCAGGTGGCCCTGCAGGCTGCAGCTCCGGCCGTCAGTCCTCCCAGCGCACGGCCCAGGCGGGGCCGCCGGCCGACCCTTCCCGAGCGTCCTCTGCGTCCCGGTTCCAGTTCTGTCTTAAATGCCACCCACCCTGGGCCTCCTGTCCCCAACTCTGGGGGCGTTTAGGAGGTGGAAAGATGCGCGTGTCGTCGTGGTATTCATAGGTCAGGGCGAGTTCAGGGAGCTGAGTTGTTCTAGGTTTAGATTTCTCTCTTGGCTGTTTTGTATCTAAGAAAGAAATAGCAAAACCTTATCTGGGTTCAACTTTGAAAGTCCGAGGTGTTACTTTGGGTTTAGTATGTTAACAGTGTGTTTTGAAAAATTGAAATAGAGGAGCAGGTGGACAATAGGACATCACACCAAGAGAAAAAAGTGGAATGAGTACTTCAGGTTTAGAAGATTGATCAGAAGGGGAAAGACGTTTGGGGTCTCTATATAGTCTTTTGGGGGAGTTACGCTTATTTTAAATGTGGATTCATTTTTCAATACATTGAAAAAGTAAAATGCCATCCAGAAGGAATGGAGGGTACAGTTTCATTCCAGTTTTTGAATATAGAGGAAATACAGTACATTAAAGGCATAGATTACCTCCAGAATAGTAAATGGGAATCAGTGGCATTCTAGCAGTTAATTCTAGCAGTTTCCCATTTGCTGACATCAGCCATCTAGTTCATCTAACAACAATGGTAAACTAACTTGTGAGCTCATGTTGCACTTTGTACATAAATTTTCTTTGGTTCGCTCTGGATGAATTTCAGGTTATCCATAATCTTAATAGAGATGGTAATTGTGGTATTTTAAAAGGTTTTGCATTGGCCCTGAATGAGAACTGAAGCATGAGCAAGATATAGTAAAAGATAGTAAAATCCATCTGTATAAAATTATGATTTCCAGTTGCAATGTTCTAAATCTCATGTTTGTGTTTCTGTTGGCTCTCCCTCATGGTGACTGGTTTCTTCAATTGATATATAATATTTTAGTGGGAGCTTATCTTCAAAGAATATTCTGTGGGAGTTTTCTGTACCCTGGTGGAGAGAGTGTCTCTGCATTTGCTTTTGCTGGGCCATAGATGACTCGATTGTGTTAAACTAGATTTAAGATAATTTTTTTCAGCTTACAGTATAAATTTGGATTCTACCTTCAAATATTTAGGCTTCAGGTGTCAGGGTTTTTGTTTGTTTTTTGTATTAGCACAAACACATTTATTTACTAACCAAAGGGATGGTCTTAGTTAAACCAACACTTTGAAATAGTTCCCTGTAAAATGTTTGTGATAGAGAAATTGAACGTAGTAATAATAATAATTTAAAAAAAGCAGTCTGTAGATTTTTTCATTGAACTGAGCCTCTTCATTCTTGCAGCTAATTCCTGTCCAAAGTGGTGATGGAATTTTTATTTTACTTTCTCATGGCACACTCCACCACTAACTTCACATCTTTAAATTGTCTTGTTACATCTTCCTTCCATCTTCCTTCCAGCTGCTAGAATGGTAGCCATTGTGGGCACTGGTGGGCTGGTGTATATGGTGAGGGGAACAGGTTGGATGCGGGCAGCATGCTGACCAAGGTTTTTTTAAGTCACAGTCAGACTTTCCTACTACTTTTCCAGAGTATTAGGCCGAATTTTCCTAATTCTCAAATGCTCTATTTTTTTTCCAGTTCTTCAAATTTTGTCTTCAAATATGTGTGTGAGTCCCAGTATTGGGGACCTATAATACCTAGGACCCCTCTTTCTCATCTCTTATGCTTTCGTTTAAGTCCAGTCGTTTATTTTTTCACTTAAATAAAGCATGTATTACTGAGCATTTTTGTGTGTATGAAAGGGGACCATCTGTGACAACTGAGACTATAATATTGCCTCCAGTTGATTCTCCACTAGGGCAGCTAGAGGAATCTTTTAAAAATAAAAATCCAAACATACTTTATATACAAAGAAAGATATGAAAAATTGTGTTCTATATGTGTAATAAGATGGTATTGTGTTCCACTGTCATGTATTTAAAAAATAAAAGCAATTAAAAGAAGAAAAATAAAAATCCAATAGTGTCTATAATTAAAACTATAAAATGACTCCTTATCACACTGTGGATAAAATGTCAGTGCCTACATAATCCCAACCTAATGGACTTTTGCTTAACTTTTATATTAGACTCTCTTTCCCTTCACTCCACACTCTCTAAATTCCAAATTGACTTTCCTTTGGGTTTTAGAATTTGCCAGATCTCCTTCCCCTGCCCACCCTCAACCTCTTATTGTCCATCCAGGGCTATCCCAGTGCTTACACCCACCCCCTGCCCATTGAACCCAGGGGTGCTTAACCACATCCTACCCTTCCTATTTTTTTTTTTTTTTGAGACAGATTCTCACTAAGTTGCTGAAACTGGCCTCTAACTAACCATCCTCCTATCTCAACCTCCTGACCTGTTGGGATCACAGGCAAGTAACACCATGCCAGTCTCCAATGCTGTTCCCTAAGCTATGATGTTTCCCTTGTCTGAGTGGTTCCTCTTGCATCTCAGGTTCTGACCTCAGTGTCCACAGAGATTTTTATGATTGTCGTATAAGAGTGGCACCCCCATTTTCTTAGCACTAATTACAATTTCTAAATTATTTGTATTCATTGACTTTTTTGGGGGGGGATGGCTTTTACTTCTTTATTGTCCGAGAGTTTGTGCCACTTCAGGGATTGGAGGTGCGCCACTCAAAGTTCGCACCATTCACAGGGATTGGAGGTGATGGTTCGCGCCATTCAGTGCGTCGTGGACCTGAGCTCCCGGAAGAGAAGCGCTCTGGGCGCCATCTTTACCAAAATTCCTCCCTTTTTTGTTTTGGTTTGGGGACACGGTACTCCATCTGGCTATTTCCTGCTGAGTAGGGGCGATGTTTAGAGGGAGGGAGGGAGGTTAGTTGGTCGGAGAAGGAGGCCAGGAGGCCCCATATCCATGTGTTGAAGGCATGGATTTCCTCCTGGGAGAAGTCCATGAACATGCCCTGCAGCTATGAAAAGAAACAGCATTAATTTCTGGCATGTTGTCCAGTCTGTAGGGCTAGTAGAAAAAGGCCTATGCCCAGGAAAAGGCAGGTTAGAACATATAAAGCTGAAAACCAAGGGCTTATTTCTTTGGCATGGTGGGGTAGACAGAGATGGCCCTTCAGTGGAGTTGTCATTCGGTATCTTCATCTTTCAGCACTTGGTGGAGGTTTCTTGGGATGAGTGGATGTGAGTGTCGTCCGGCTTGTTGGCAAGTAGCTTGTAATCCCTGAGGAGGAAAGGTAAATCTGGAAAGGAGGAAAGGTAAATCTGGAAAGGAGGAAAGGTAAATCTGAGCTCTGGTGGGATTGTCCTCTGGAGGGGTGCTGCCGGTTCTAACCAATCCGCAGGCCAGTGGTGGATGTCAGGCAGGCGATCAGAGGAGTGGACTGCGGCAGGAATGGTTGGGCTCCGAGTTTGGGAACGGGATTCCCCCTTGAGCGAGGGGGATCCCCGTCCTGGTTTCAGCACCAATGTAGGAACGGCGGAAAAATCTCTGTAAACTCAAAAAGCCAAAACAACCATTTACCTGTCCAGATTTTATTAGCAGGAATGTAGTGGCCAGTCGCAGAAGAGAAGGTGGTAGAGAGAGAGGGGGAAGAAGGGGAGAGAGGGAGAGGGGAGAGAGAGAGGGGGGAGAGGGGGGGAGAGAGTGGAAAGGGGGAGAGAGCTTGTTGACTTTTTATGTCTTATTTTCCCTGTTAGATAATATCTCCTCAAGATTAGAAGAGCATCTTTTATTTACCCAGAGTAAAATATATTTGACATTAAATAAGCACTGAATAAAATATTAACAGAATAAATCCTTTTGAGCCAACCATTAACTTGAAACACAGCCACATGTATTGTATTTTTAGATTCCTTTCTAGTGTGAATTTTTATGATGGTGAATAATATTAACCATGTTTATTATTATGTTAGGTCTTATATATCTTCTGTTAGCTTTCTCCCTAAGTAGTTCATGATGTGATGTTAATATAAGTATTAATATTTTATAATGTTTAGTTTCAATTATTTTGTGTATACACACACACACCCCAAAATGCATATGCTGGAACTTAATCCCTATGTGATATTAATAAGAGATGGGGTCTTTAGGAACTGACCAGATCACAAGAGCTTTGGAACCTCCTGAATGGGATCTGTGCCATTTAAACAGGTTTAAGGGAGCCTGCTTGCCTCTTCTATGAGGTGCTCCAACACGAAGGCACCTTCTAAGAAGCAGAGAGCAGCCCGCACCAGACACCAAATCCACTGGTGCCTAGATCTTCAACTTCCCAGCCTCTAGAACTGTGAATGATAAATTTCTGTGCATAAATTACCAAATACATGATTTTTTTGTTATAGCACCGAATGTACTAAGACAACCTGGAAATAAAATTGGCTTTATTTGTTGATCTTATATCCTGCAAGCATGATAAATACACGTATTAGTTATGAAGCATTTTCAGAGGGTAAATATCATTGGATTTTCTACAGAGAAAATCATGTTCTGCAAATAAACAGTTTTACTTCTGTCCAATCTGCCTTTTATTGCCTTTCTTGCCTTATTGCACTGGCTACACCCATCAGTACAATACTGAATAAAAGTGGGATCAAACACTGTTGGCCTCTGGTTTTAAGGGAAAATCAT